AATGTGTGTCAGCTCCTTTGCTGCCATCCTTCTTTTCCTCCCCATAATTTAGATGGAAAAACCAAGACACGGAGCAGAAATAATATGATTTAGCCATTCTGTAGCTGAGTTGGGATTTGAACCTAGGAAGCCAGGCTCCTGATTCTGAATGCTTATTCACCATGGTCTAATTGTTATTATAAAATGGTCAGGATCAAGAAATAGGTGGGATACCGTCACTCATTTCACTGGTGATTTAGAACACCAAACCATCTGACTTCTCGCCCACAGTGGGGCAAATCTCCCTGAGACACTCCCGTGTCTCACTGAGGGGTGGGTACTCTGGCCCCTATTGCCCAGTCATCTTACTCTGTGTCTGACCCGCAGTCCTGCCCCATGCCAGCAAGCCTCCTCTGCAGTGTCATCGCCACACCCACCTTCCTCCTTGGGACCACTGGGTTGGCCTTGGGATGAATGTTGTTTGGGTATGTTTTCCTCTTGGAAGATCAGTGCTTGTTTCCCTCTCAGTCCATATTTGGGGTTTAAAAGATCCCTGAACATGTATCTGCCTCTAACCACCAAGGAAGAGAAAGCAGTTATTTTCCCAGACAAATGGGGTAAGACAGATGCTGGCCAGAGAAGGAAGGGGTAGGCGGAGGGACACTGCAGCTTCCCTGGAAGGCCCCATGGCCCCTCCTTGCCTTCTCTCCATATAAATGCACATCCATCCAGTGTAACTGAATCATTCGGCATCCACAGCTGGGACTCAGTCGGACTTCAACAGCCTGAGACATGTCTTACATTTCTTAAGCAGATTATCCACAGAAATTGAAGCAATATCTCTGTTCCGTCAATTTCTATAAGCCAAATGGCAATATCTGGGCCACCTAGTTTTCTCTGAACAAGGTCAAGATAGGGCAGGAAACTGCCCCCAGTCCGGGACCAGGTTATTAATGGTGCCAGGGCATGACTAAGTGCCCTAGGATGGAAGGTCAGATTTCAGGGAGCAGCAGCTGGTACTTGGCTGAGGCCACCCTTTGCTGAAACAAGGCATCTGGGTGGAGGGAGTCAGTACTCCTTAACAGTGTGGATCTGCTGGAACCGTCTTATTCCCACCTGGGAGCAAGAGGGTGTGTTTGGTGAGAGTGGCTCGCCTGGGTCAGGTACCTTCACTATGCAGTGTGCTGTGGGTAACCCTGGGGTTACACCTAACCCTGCCCACCTGCCACCTCTTGGGAGGTAGCAGCTGGGCCTACACCAACACCCCATGTCTGCAGGGTCACACAGGATGGTGTGGTCCTCCAGCATATGTTTATGTTGTCATAGGGACTGTACCTGTTTGGGCATTTGTGGGTGTCGATGCACCAGTGAGATTAGAATTAAGTGAAAGAATTGAGGTGACCACACTAATATGGCTGGGATCATGCTAATATGAGCTGGTTGAGAGGATTACATCACCCCCATAGATAAATTATCAGCATAATCTGATAGTTCCAATTCTTTAGTCATCTGGGGGGAAATTGGGAGATTAAAAACCCCTTCCATAGCTTCTGGGTGGTGCAGTTAACTCTCGCAGCTATCACCCTAAAGATTGGTGGTTCAAATCTACCCAGAGGCACTTGGCAATCAGCTGATGAAAAATTAGCCATTGAAAACCCTGCAAGGCTGAGTTGTAGTTGGAATGTGAAGTATGGGCATCGGTCTCCTGCGCCATCTACTGGCCATATGGGGGTACGAGCCTGTCTGAAACAGACCTTAAGCCCACTATTAAAGCACTTTTGATTATTCGTGTGCACAGAAAACTTCACCAAAAGTCCTTTCTTATATCCAACCTAATTCCCTTCTGCCACGCTGGTCCATTTTGTCATGCTTAAACAGCCCAGGAGCAGCCCCGTCTACGTGCACCTTCTCATTTTATCCAAAACTTAAGCCCTTCCAAAATTGAAAGCCTATATGACTCGGCCACGAAGCAGCTGAGTCTTGCTGGCTGACCCTGGCACTCCAGCTCCGGTCTTACTTTCCAGTCCTTTAATCTTCGTGGCGCTGCGCTGGCTCCCCTCCAAGTTTCCACTGTCTCTCTGGAGCCTACAGGTGACCACAAGACCCTGATTAGGATCTTTGATACTCGACTCTCCGCTGCCCAAGTAATAGGTCTCACGGGGTTAGGTGGCACCAAAAACCGGGAGGCACATCAAAACATTAAGCCTGCCCTACAGGAGATGCCAGACTGCAACCTGGAGAGGGTATGCCCTCAGGAGCCCAGCCTGGAGACAGGAGGACAAGGGGGGAGGGCGGGCTTTCGTAATCGTCTGGAATTCCTCAAAGACCAGGAGGAATCTACCTGCTGTTTTCCAGTATCTGCAAAGGCTTGGCCCTAGGCAGCATTTGACTGCTTTCAAAGAAAAGGCTAAGAGAGGTTCAAGTCCATTCATCCCAAGGTTTATGGGATCATTATTAACAGCTCAGCCTCCTCCATAGAAGGGTGAGTCAAGGGGAAGGTCATTGCCCACCTTAGAGAAGGCCTTCAAAAGCGTAGAATCCTAACAGGGGCTGTTGATCTTGGGATGGGTGAGGACTGGCATGCACCCATGTCCATAAAGGCCCGTGAGAGCAAGAACAAACAGTACCTGAATGGCGACCTCTCTGACCAAAGGGACCTTCAAAATAAGTAGCCAGAGGAGGGTGGACCAGCACCCACCCGTTCCAGAAGACTTTAAGAACGAGAAAGAGCGCCACTGGGTGAGCTATCCGCACCTGTGTCTCCTCAGGCACACTGAGATCGTGCAAAGGCTGCCAAGGCTGAGATAACCATCCTGTGGGGCTGAGGCAGCTTTCCGGGCGTCTCCCCTTTGAGGAGATGCATCCTATATGCCTGGTTGCACAGACACTCCTGCGCGAGGCTGCTGGCTCCCCGGCTCAGGTCAGAACAGCCCGGTGAAGGAGCTGCCTGACTTTTTTCAGTGCTCAGCATCCACGTCAGCCCTGTGGTCCCTCTGCTCCTAAAAGGATCTGTTTCCAGTCAGGAATAGGGAAGGTTTGGCTATTCATTCAACAATGTCCCCAGCTAGTCAATGACAACCATCTTTTGTCCTATCCCCCACTCTAGTCGTCACTTTGTGAGGATCAGAGGGTTTACTAGTGCCCAGAGAGGGTGAGCATCTCACGACAGTCTCAACAACCCATCTGTGTCATGGTTAGCCCTTTCTTTCCCTCCTGCCTTTCCCCCTAAGACCTGAGCCTCGTGCTCAGAGCTGTCTTCTGCACAACAGAGCCCTAGCCTTTCCATATGCAGAGTCAGCCTCGCTCCCCTTGCACCTTCAACCCCATCCCAACTTGTCCCACAACCAAAAGAAGAACTGGCTGAATCCCAGACATCACTCTTGGAGCTAATCCCTCGAATGGCCCATTGCATCTAGGAACACATCACCACGTTGATTAATCATCCCAGCAGGTTTGCACAGAGTAGAATTAAGACACTGAGGACGTCAAGACCCAGCTAGAGAGAGCACACGAGGTGCCACAAGAAGACTCTCAGAGTACATGCCCCTCAGGGTCGGCCTGACCTCTGCTTCACCACATGTTTTCTCCCTGTCACCCACACACATCCACCCCTGACAACTACGTCTCCTCCTCCTCCTCCTCTCTGGTGAATAAATACGCAGGCTAACTGCCCAGAGTGCTGCAAACTCCAAACTCTTGGAGGAACTTCCGTGCCAGGGCCTTAAAGACTGGATACCTCCTTAATTCACCTGGACAAATCTTGAGCCAAGAGAGAATAGGTGCTCAGGTGCTTCCTGCCACCTGCTCTGCCAACCAGGTGAGGCCAGGTCTCTCACTGCCTCCCCTCACATGCACCTGGAACATCCCCGGAGACCGAAAGCCCAACAGTCAGGTTCTCAGTAGGCATCGGGGACCCAAAACGGGGTGCCTTACCATACACCTCCTCTATATCAAACCCTTGCGACTGGACTCTATCACACACCCCTTTCTGGGCATCCCACTCCCAGGGGATGTGGAAGTGGAGAGAAAGCGATTTTTTTCCCTTCACCCCTTTTTATATCTAGGGTCACTCCCACATCCTAGTTCTACTTTTAAGCACGTGAAAAGAGGACAATGAGATAGGGTCTTATTGTCTTTATTGTCACCAAGGAGCTTTCTGACCACACACTGCCTACCTGGATCTACCTAGTCTGGCGAAAGCATAGGACTTAATGGAGAAACAGGGCCCCAGAAATGAGGTAGGGGTTGAATTAAAATTGGGTGGACCCAAGAAAAAGGCCGGGGGAGAGAGCAATGAATGGATCAACAAATAAATGAACAAAGTCTTACTTCTTTAAAGGTCATAAGTCAGCTAAGTATAAACTGTCACCAAGTCACTCCTATATATAACTGCTCTGCCCCAGCCAGCTGTCACCCATTGCTGTCTGGAGCTGAGTAATGTCCAGGTTGTGGAGCCCCGGAGCACAGCGCCAGCTCTGAGCTGGTGCGGTGTGAGGCCTCCCAGTCTCGTTTGCCTTGTTCCCTTGCAGGGCGGTATTTCCAGCTTCACCACCCCAGGGACCCCTTTTCCTGCCATTTATAATGTCCCTCTACGATTTTCAAAGCCCCAGCATCCTCCTGTCCTGTCTTCCTGTCCAGATCTAAATATATCTCAAGTCCAAGCAGTTCGAAAAGCACAAAGACCCCACCAATAGGACAGTGTCCACGCCTGAGGCCTCTAGTTTTGTTGTTACACCTCTGCCGCGTCAATGAACTAAACACAAACATACTCCCCTGATACCATCTCATCTCCCTTCCTCCTTCCACCCTTCCTCCTCCTGTCCAACTTTCTCTCAGAAATCAGCCCGTTTTCGAGGTTGCCCTAACCCAGGAAGGCTTCCTAGACATGTTTTTCTGAATCACTCACCTACTTTTCCTAGCTTATTTCCCAGTCTGGAAATCCACTTCACCGCTGATGACCCCCATCACCTCAAACCTCCTCCCGCACCCTGGACTGATGCCCCTCCCACTTCTTCCAGCAGAGAAAGACTCGCGCGAGCAAGAAGAGCCCACCACATCTGAGATGGCCGAGGAGACCTACCCCCCTAAGGTGCTGCGCCCCAAACATACCCGCATCTCAGAGATGAAGGCCGAGGCCGTCAAGAAGGACCGCAGAAAGAAGATGAGTCAGTCCAAGTTCGTGGGGGGAGCGGAGAACACTGCCCATCCCCGGGTGGTCCCCGCACCCGAGATGCGACAGGAGTCTGAGCAGGTGAGTCCCGAGGACCCGTCCACAGCCCCCTTCACGTCCACGTTAGGCTAGACCTGGCTCAAGGCCTGCTGCCCTGCTTCAGAAAGAGCAACAACAAGAAACACAGAGCCCGATGCCTTCAACTCTGTTCTGACTCACTGACCCCTTGGAGTCCAGTGTCCAACGGCCCTATAGGATTTTGACAGCTCTACTCTTTTTGGAAGTTCACTATAGGGTTTCTCTCCCCAAGGGGCCAACTGGACTAGAAGTGCTGACTCTTTACTAACCCCTAGAGCACTGAACTCCAGTGTCCCCAGGGCTCATCTATAAAGATTATCGCATAGGAGCCCCCATGGCATGGCTGTGCTCTGGAACATGTGTCACCATGCATGGCAATGGACTTGAGGGCATGCAATGATAAAAGACCTACCACCTGCCCGGGCAGCTCTCCTTAGAATTTGCAGAGAGAAGTGTCAAAGGTTTTACTTGTGAGGGTGGGGTATTGGTGGTTCCTGGTAGACCCTCACTTTCCACACCTAAGACCCCTAATTCAGTTCCTGGCCAATGCACCTCACCCAGAACCACCACCTGTGTCTGTAGCATTGGAGGTAGCAGGTTGCTATGATGTGGATTCTATGATGCTGGGATTTAGCAGAACTTCCAGACTTAGCCAGATGAGGAGGAAAGGCCTGGGGGTCCTGTTTACACAAACCCAATACATCACGCTGGCCCAATCTCTAACCTTAAAGAAGGATGCAGGGCTGGCTGGCATTTTCCATTGATCTGTTGTGCCTGGGATCTCCATACAGTGAGTCAGTGGCAGCCAATGACAACAGCAACCTAACCAAGGGCTTCCCCACAGGAGACAGTGTGGATCTCACAAGAGTGCCAGCCAGTTACCATAACCACAGCAAGTGTGCAATTCCACCGATGTGGCCCATCGTGGGTAGAGATTGAGCAGGCTCTCTGGGGCAGACATGAGGGTCACCTCTGAACCAAATGAACATGGCAAAACAAAAATGATGGGGGTGGGGCAGCAGCATGGAAGACCTAGAAGCTGAGTCAACGTGGCTTCTGCACCTGGTCAAATGCTGGTGCTGACAGGTGAGAAGGCAGCAAAAGCCTTGCTTTGGATAAAAGGTGGGAACATGCCTGCAGGTCTCACACTGCTCCCCCACTCTGAGCCCCAAGTTTTGCACATCTGTGTGGTTCCCACCATGGTCCCAGGTTCACCTCTCATCTTCCCCCTTCTGCCCACAGGGTCCCTGCCGCAGACACATGGAAGCATCCCTGCAGGAGATCAAAGCCAGCCCCCGCATGGTGCCCCGTGCCGTCTACCTACCCAACTGTGACCGCAAGGGATTCTACAAGAGAAAGCAGGTATGTCCCTATCTCAGGCTCTCATGGGGCCCTGAAATGGCATTTGCCAGAGACCCTGAACTTGAGCAAGAGTCTTGAGACTTCTGCCACAAAGAATGCAGTGTTTTCCAAACCTCCAGCCTCCATTCCATTGTCCGATTTTTCCATCACCTCCTATAATCTGGGAGTTCTGGTAGCTTAGCAAGAAGCTGCACTGCAATCCCAAAGGCATGCAGTTCAAATCCACCAGCTGCTCTGAGGGAGAAGGCTGTGCAGCCTCATCCTGTGTGATTAACTACCTCTGAAAACCTGCTAGAGGGTCAGCTCTGGGTTGGTTCCAACTCAACAGCACACAACAACAACAAAATCTGTAATGAATTCACTGTATTTACAAGGCATCACTGGAAGACAAAACTCTGTTACTGTATTACATTGCATGGATGCGCTACTTAAATTTTCCCTGTTAAGGACGGGCAATCTCCTCCTGTGTTATTAACTGCCTCTGAAAACCTGCTGGAGGGTCAGCTGTGGGTCAGTTGTGACTGGATGGTGCACAACATCAATGAGATAAAACAATATGAGAGATGATGAAGATATTATTATTATTACTGTTCTTTCTATCAGAGGACGCCAGGCTGGAGGGCCCTGAAGTATATAACATTAAATAAGAGATTGTGGAAGCTAGCAAAGGGCAGAGGGCAACTGTTGTCATTGTTGTTATGTGCCGTCGAGTCGTTTGCGACTCATGGCGACCCTATGTACAACAGCCCTAAACCCTGCTCTATCCTGTGCCAACCGCACTGCCTCTGACACACCCATCCCGATTACCCCAGTCACTGAATCAATCCATCCCATAGAGGGTCTTCCCCTCCTGCGCTGTCCCTCCACCCTCCCAAGCATGATGTCCCTCTCCAAGCTGTCCCTCCTTGCAACATGCCCAAAGTATGTTAGACAGAGCCCCAGAATCCTTGCCTCCAGGGAGCAGCCTGGTTTAACCCTCTCTAGGATGAATCTGTTTGTTTTCTTGGCAGTCCATGGTACATTCAATACTCTTCTCCAGCACCACAGCTCAAAGGACAGAGGGCAACTAAGTTTTCCCCGACCACTCTCCACTGAAAGGGTTAGACCCTCCAGCAAGGGCTGAGACTAAATCCCCCAACTGTGTGGGATGAGGGTTCTGCCTAGGGGTGGGACAGGGGCAGGAGCAGAGAGCCCTGGAGTACAGCCCCTCACTCCCTATTGTTTTCCCCGCCTCAGTGCAAGCCTTCTCGTGGCCGCAAGCGAGGCATCTGCTGGTGCGTGGACAAGTACGGGATGAAGCTGCCAGGCATGGAGTATGTCGACGGGGACTTTCAGTGCCATGCCTTCGACAGCAGCAATGTTGAGTGATGCGCCCCCTCCCTGATCTTCCCTCACCCTACCCCACCCCCCAGCCCCGACTCTAGCCAGCGCCTCCCTTCACACTAGGATGCCACTCATTTCATCTCATTTAAGGGAAAAGAAATATCTATCTATCTATTTGAGGAAACTGAGGACCTCGGAATCTCTAGCAAGGTCTCAACTTCGAAAGTGGCAACAACAGAGACACGAAAAGCTAAGGAGACCCCTCCCCTCTTAACAGTGTTTTTTTGGGGGTTGTGTTTTTATTGAGGCAAGTTGAAAGCACAGGGAAGGGACGAGAGGAAGGACGAGAGGCAGAGGAGGAAGGAAAGCACATGGTAGGAGAGAAGGAAGGATAAAGAGCCTTTAGGGAAGGAAAATGGACAAGTGGGCAGGAAGGAAAGGCGCCAAGACTCGGTGGGATCCGCCTTGGGCTCCCAGCCTGGCCTGGCTTGAGGAGAAGCTGGGGCGCCAGGAGGTGTAGCCCAAGAAGTGACATGGGTGACACACTCCGGGCCGTCTCACTTTGGAGATGAAGAGAAAGGGAATGCAGAGTAGTGTACCTCCTGCACTTCGCTCCTCCTCCAGCCAGCGACCCGGTGGCTTGAACCCCACCCTGCCTCTCCCTTTGCCCCACAATTGAGGAAAAACAAAAAAAAAATGCATTCCATTCTTTTAAGAGCAAAGCCAACTAATAACTGGGTATCGTAGATGGCTTTCCCTAGTCAGAGAGGTGAGTGTTGGACAGGAGAGCATATTTTACTTCCTGTTCAGAGTTTTAGAAATCAGTCCACACCCCAATATTGGAAAGACTCGGTCCTCCGGGGTGACTAAGAACACATGCTCATGTGTGTGCCTTTGGCCCCTCATTTCATTCACTCCACGGCTAGTGCAGCTTCTGTAAGGGAGGAGAGGCGAAGAAAGAAAAAAAAAAAGTATGGGCTTGTGTATCTGCACAGCTCCGTATAGTCACATATAGGTGTAGGCATATAAATGTATTTTTTTTTCTTCTTTTCTTTTCTTTTTTGATGGTTTGCATTAACTTTTCACTAGCGTTCCTAAGGGGCATTGAGGAGTGTCCTCATTCTAAGAAAACCCAGTTCTTCTAATACGACCCAAAATATCACTTTTACCTGCTTCTTGTCAAGCCTTCAAGGGACAGATTATTGGATTTTTTTTCTCTCATGTTCTCCCATGTACACATGTGTTCATATGTGTGCACTAAGCCAGGGAGATACGGGCACACAGTGGTGCTCATACCATGTCCCCATTGCACCCATGTTGGTCGTCAGTCCCTCGGAGGGGGGAGTGTCTCTGGACATCATACCATTAGAGCTCGACAGGTCCAAGTTTGGCCCCCTGATCCTGCCCCGCTATCTTTCCATTTCACTGGGGCAGAGCCTACGTTTTGAAAGCCTCTCTCAGCTTCACACTCAAAGAGCAGGCGAGAGGTTGGCATGAGAGAGAGTGAAGAGAGAGATAGACGGGGCAGCATCTAAACACAAGAAAGAGAGTCCAGTTAATGGCTCAAGCCAGATGGAGACGGAGGGGAGGCGCCAAGGGCTTGAGGAGCAGAGGCCAGAGTGCCCGTTCAAGCTTTGGACAGAGCAGCAGAAAAGGTGGCAGAGTCAGCAGAACCTTCCTTGGTCTCCTCGCTCTGTCAGTCCTCTGGGATTCAAGCGGAAGGAGACAAGACAATGCAGAACAAGATTATAACCAGAAATTACGTTAACCCAGGTTACAGATGTATGCAAGGTGGGAAACATTAGGTGGCTTCTAGACTTCAGCATTTGGAGGGAAGCAAGGATCGGCAGAGACTGGCGTGCTTTTAAAGGGACGGGACTATCAGATGCCCATCTTCAGCTTCCAATGAAAGAGTGAGACCAAAGTGTCTCTCAAGTTCTTTATCCGCCCTGGCCAGTCCCTGCTTCTTCCCTTGGAGGGTGAGGATGAAAGAAAGAACCTGGACAATCAATGAACGAGTGTTTCAAGAGGAGCCATCATTGGCAACCAGATTCTGAGATGAGAAAAATCCCATTCTCCACTGACTTGCTCAACAGCTGGATAGATGGCCTTGGAGCTGTCCTTTAAAGGCTAAATAAGGCCTGCCTGGAAAAGGGGACGTGGACTGGCAAAGGAGACCTTCTCGCTGTGTGTGGACATACTACCCACTCTAACCGAATGGCATGACACCCAGGAAGCCGAAGCAAACACTGAACTTGGCGCAAACATGCAAATCTGCTCAACTATTGGAAAATGTACCACTCTGTAACCTGGGGACAGGGATGTTCCCTGAACTTGACAGTTGGCTGGGGATGGGAGAGGTAGCCAGTCTTCTTCAGACAAAGGGCCAGATGGGGAAGACTGTGTCAGTCAGCATGCCCCATCTCTCTGCACAATTGCCCCCAACCCAACCCACTCCCAGCTCACATTTCTAGACGTGTTAGGCCAGTATCCTGAACTTCCCACCTTATTCTGCTTTCTACCCTTTCTCCCTTTGGAATAAGCAGTGCTGTAACTGAGGTTACCAAATGGATACTAGGGTGCCATTCACCCTAAGAAAAGACTGAGCCAGGAATTGTACACCCCTTCCCAACACTCCCAAGGCCTGGACCTGATTAAAAGGGAGCTCTCTCTTTCCCCCTGATGTTTGCTGAGCCTTGAATGGACCGCTACCCCTTACATTGGCTCTTTTTTTTTTTGCTGTCAGCCATAAGGTGGAGGACAATGTCCTGATTTCATCCAACCAGACTTGAGAGTTCCAAGTTCAAGCTTACTGACCCAAACCTGTGAGTCTGGTGCTTGCAGGGGGTGACTGTGAACATCTGACCCCTCAGACAGAAAGCTGGAACTTCATGGGCAGGTGGAACTAATCCTCCTTCATGAGAGCCTCCTGACCTGAGCCCGGGGGCCCTTGACACTATGGGAAGGGAGTCATGAAGGAAAGATGGAATCTCTTCCCTAGGCATGTGGGGAAAAGACAGGGTGTGAGATGTGAAGGCCTGAGAACACTTTCTCTTTGACTGCAGACTGGCTGTTGGCCCACTCTGCTTACCTAGGGCCTTGGACTTTGAGTTATCAGAATGTCCTCCCACGAACCCCATCCAAGAGACCACAGGTCTCATCCCCCTTCTGACCTCCCCACTCGAGCGTGGGGAAGATACCCCTGTCTTCCTCCACTACTACCAGGTAACCGAGGGAGGCGCAGTCAGGACGGATCCTCCTTCCCACAGCCAGCTCTGACCCACGCAGGCAAAGCCAGGTATCTAGGAAGGAAGAGACTCGACAGTTTTACCGACAGCCAGGCCCGGACACATGGGCCTGGAGACATACTCTAACATAACCCCGGGGGGAGGATGGCAGGCCCAGGAGGCCCAGGAAGGCACTGTGTGGTCACACCGCCTCTCCTCTGGCGCCATTTTTTCCCATCACTCCTCTCTCCAGAGTAACCCAGGATTGACCTTCACTTGGGGAGGGGATCTCAATCCCTGCCCCTCACCTCCTAACTCCTTAGCATCAACAGGGCTACCAGGCTGAGCTTCCCTCAGTGTGGGACTATCGAGTTCCCTGTCTCCTAGAGGGTGTCAGTTCAGAACAGAGAGGCATGGTCCCAGGAGAGACTCTGGTCTGGACAGAAAGGGGACCATGTTTGGAAACATGGCCGGAGAAGGGCAAGGGGCTTTTACCAACTAGCAACCTGGGAGTTGTACTGTTTTATTTTTAAAAACCACTAAAGTGCAAGAATTATTTTTGCACTGTTTCTCCACATATTTTTTTTTTAATTTCAGGTTTTTATTTCTTTTTATATTAAAAAAAATTGCTTTCTTGGTTTTCTAATGGAATACATAGTTTCAGCCATTTCCACAGACTCTGGCCTCCTCTCTAACTCCTTTTGAATGGGGAAGGAGAAAGCAGGAGAAGGGGAAAGGGTTCCCCGCTGCCCTGTGCCTCTGCACCCCACTTCTCTGGTCCCTGGTCACCAGCCTGAGTCCCACACCTGCCACCACCACCATCACCACCATCACACAGTAGCCCACAAGGATAGCACAGTTGACAGACAAGATTCCTTCAGATTCCGAGTTGCCGACTGGTTTTTGTTTGTTTGTTTTCTTTCTTTTTTTTTTTAAGACAGCAATAACCACAGCACATATTACTGTAGTTCTTTGTAGTTTGACATACATACAACATACTATAGCTCTGTTCTCGCCTGTTTCTTATTTTCAATTGTTTTTGTTTTGTTTTGTTTAAATAAATGCTCATAATCTTGATTGGTAAAAAAAAAATGGGGGGGAATAAATAACAAATGAACAAAAAAAAAAAGAGGGGGGGAAAAATTGTCTGAATGCGGAAGAGCTCGGCTCCTGTTAAGCCTTTCATACTTAAGAAATAAAAACCCAGAAGATCTCACATTTTATTCAAAGTGAAGATTGCTGTATACTATTTATTCAACTTATAATTTATGTTACTCCTTGATCTTTGTCTTTTGTCATGACAAAGCATTTATTTAATAAAGTTATGCATTCAGTTAGCCTGCGTCAGCTTCCTCCCAGAGCTCAGGCCAAGCCCAACATCTTCCTCAGGCCCAAACCAGAGAGGAAGGGAGAAAAGACCCGGATGAAGCCAGACCAAAGACTTAGAGATGGCTGATCTCTCAGAGAGGTCCTCCCATCCAAAACAGAGATGCCTTTCACATCGTGTAGAAAAATGCCTTTCGAGCTGTGTGGTCTAGGGAGACTTACTTACCCTCTCTGTGCCCACCTTTCCTCTTCAGGAGCAGCTTTACAGGGTTGCTGTTAGCTTACGTGAGTCGATGGACATAAAGCACTTAAGAGCCACTGCCCTCAACAGGGTTCCAACTGATAGGGACCCACCATCAGGATTCCAAGGCTCTAAATATTTGATTTAGATTATTTCATAATCAAATAAATAAATCTGTGATTTCTTTCCTATTTACCACCCATCTTGCTACCAAAGAGTGGCAAGTCGATTTCAAACCCCCAAACTTCTGATTAGTAGCCCTATACTTTAACCAGGCCACTAGAGCTCCTTATAGAGAACTTAGAACAACAAATAGTTAATAACATGCTCAGCTCTTGTTAATACTTGTCGTTTTTAGTCATTTAGTCCCAGCCTCTGGAGTTAAACAGA